GTCATAAAACAACATGTGTACTACTGTTTCATGAGAAACTATTTGTTCTGTAAGCCTTCACCTGAAGTCCAATAAAATATATAAAAAAAAAAAAAATAGTTAGTAATTTGGCAGTTTGAGTACAAAAATATCTAGTAACACTGCTGTTTTTAAAGCAAAAAAAATGTGACGTGATTTAAATGGCCACTAACAGAATGGTTAAATAAATTACAATACCGATTAATATAGTACAGCACAGATTTGATAAAAAATCTATACAGTCATTAAAAACATTTTAAAGGACATTTAATGATGCTGGTTGGATATTTCCTACAAATGCGTATAAATAAAAGATACTCACCCTTGGAATAATGTAGGGTAGGTAAATTTCAGGACAGACAGGACATACTGAAAAATAAACAACAAATTAATGGACATTTCAAGTTACAGATAATTGATAGACCGTATAATCAAAGAAATTCCTACTGAAGAACAACATAAGTGTGCTCAATTTTCAAAAAAGCCGTTGTTGTTGTTGTTAGTTGCTGCTGAGTTAATTCCAACTTATGGCGACCCCACGTGGGTCAGAGTAGAACTGCTGCATAGGGTTTTCAATGGCTGTGACTTTTCGAAGCAGATCACCAGGGTTGTCTTCCAAGGTACCTCTGGGTGGTTTCAAACGGAGAACCCTTCAGCTAGCAATCAAGTGTGTAACCATCTGCGCCATTCAGCAACTCCTAAAAAGGTCTTTACTCCCTCCAAAAAAAATCACACACTAGGGGAAAAAATGACCTTCTAAGACAAACTAAAGAGAGTGGGCTGCTTGTCCCCAGGGCCACCAGAGCATGATAACTCTTGGGAGCTGAAAATTTGCTGGGGAATGGAGGTTGGCACCATGAACATACAGAAGCACAGAGCTGAGTCTGATGTTGTGGATACCCAAACACTCAGCATCTTCCCAGGCCCAGAAATGTCATGTTGTAACTACAGCAGCTTCAGAGAAAACCAGACAAGCCCTTGGACACAGTCTGTCTTCTTGGCGATACCCACTGTGCCTATCAACCAGTTTATTGTTTAGTTTGGTTTTTGCATTCCAAGGATTTTTTTCTAACCAATTCAGTTTGAGTATCTTATAATCTTTGCTATTATTTTAGCATTTTAAGGATTTTTTTAAAACCAACTCAGCTAAAGTCAACTTGTATTTCTATTATATCTTTTGATCAAAGTTACAGCACTTTATGAATAGGGACCTGTGTTGGGTAGATCTGGGTATCTTTTTCTATTTTCTCTACTATTGAACACTTTTTAAAAATTTTAAACTCTAAAACAATTAGTTTTAGGCAAGGACTATACTGAGTCTTCAAGTGATCTAAAATAATGGAGTGGACTGGTACTGGGCAAGTTTGCACATCTTTTTTTTCCCCTGTGGGTTAAGTCTACACAGCATTTCCCTTGTATGAGCTCCTTAATGCCGCAGTTATGGCTAACTGCCTGCGCTCCGTTCTGTATTTATTCAGAAATGGACTTCCATTCTTCTCTGAAGTCTATTTACTCATGTAATTCAACGTGTCCCTGCCCATTTTTCTCTGATATATTCACTCTAAAATGGAAAAAGAGAAAGGATTAAGGCAGCCTCTGGGTCATGGCCTGGACCACTCTTCGGAACCTTCATTAAGATACCAATATTAATTTAGTTTACTGTGTGCTTAGCCTTGTCCTAGATACTGAGGGAGATGGGAAATCCGTGAACCTCACCTCTCCTTGTTAAAAAACACTGAAGAAAAAAAAAAACTGTGACAAATTTCTCCTTTCAGCAGCTCCTCGTGTCACTGCAAAGTGTGGCTCCAAGCACACTGTTATTTGACAGAACAGGAAGACCTCAGCTCTAAGTTGCTTCCCAAGGGCAGAAAAGGAACCACTTGGGAACCATTGAAAACTCATTGCCGTCAAGTCAATTCCAACATAGCGACCCTACAGGACAGAGTAGACCAGCCCCATAGGGTTTCCAAGGGTATAATCTTTATGGAAGCAGACTGCCATGTCTTTCTCCCATGGAGTGGCGGCAGGTTCAATCTGCCAACCTTTCAGTTAGCAGCTGAACTCTTAACCACTGCACCACTAGGGCTCCTTGGAACCTTTGAAAGGAGAACAGAAGTTGACTTTGCCTCAGGCTTACCGCTGAAAAGCTACGAGAGGAAGAAGGTAAGGCAGCTGCCTGGGCCCCAGGTTACCGCTGGTAACCCCCACAGGACAAGAAACTCAGGGCCCAGGTTCTGCTTGCAACACTACAGAGCTAGGAAAGTCAGATGTGGTGAGATGGGTCACTTCTATGTGGCCTTTCTGGCCATGGTCTTGTAACTCCCACCCAAGTGATTGGGCATGACTATGTGATAAGGTTAACTGTGGTTCACTAAAAGGACTGGTCAGTTTTGCCAACCCTCTGGGCTTGAAATGGGCCACCTCAGAGGCGGGAAAGAGGTGATTCCACCACCACCAAGGAAGAACAGCCAGGACCCGGGATCCTGTGCTGAGAAGCAACTAGAACCAGGAGACACAGAGAGAGAGAGCTCAAGAAGTGGCCACAGAGACCCAGCAGCAGAGAACTGGCAGCAGAGACCTGGCAGCAGGAGACAGTGTGGTGGACTTCCCAGCCCAAGAAGAGAGAAAGCTGAGTGCCTTTGGGCAGAGGCCTAGGGCCAGGGAGAGGTGTGCCTGTGAGCATGGCTGGAGAGAGGCTGTCCTGATAGAAGAACTGTATCTTGAGCATTCCCAAGCCTGAATTGTAACTGTTACTTCCCTAATAAACCCCATAATCGTGAGTATTGTCTGTGAGTTCTATGTGGCCATTGCAATGAACTATCAAACCCAGAAGAGAAGCAGAGAGTGCCATGGGAGGGACAACTGGTGTCAGAAATGGTAAAGATGGCAGAAAGAGGAGGCACGTCTGACCTCCGCCTCACAGGAATCAGCCTTGGGCTGTTGAGCTTGATTCTTCTTTCTCCCTTGTGAAGTCAGAGGAGGTCAGCCATTGCCCCCATGCTGTTTTTACACTACAACTCAAGGGTGAGGTGCTTTTTCCTCCCTCTTTACCTAACATAGTTTCCTTTCACACTCACTTGCTCTTTCAAGTTTCCAACAAAAATCATTCATTCTAACAGTAGAAGGGATGAGATGTACAAGATTTTAAAAAATTAATTTCCTTTCCAGAAATACAGATAACAGTTCAAGGAGAAAACCATACTGATAAATATGGAAATAAGGAAACTATCACAGAGTATTCCAAATAGTGGAAGAGAACATTCTCTACTCTAGACAAAAAATCTTCACTAATTTTCAAAAGATAAATAATTTGGTAAAGACTAGATACAGGACAATATGCTCATGGAACGTCTACTGCACAAGTCTCTTCCTATTTGGCCTCTCTTTGATCGCACCACGGAGCAGGAGCAGAACCTAGCCTTGGCTGTCTGAAGGAAGTATGATTGTCCTGGCTGAGACGATGAATCAATGGCAACAAAAGGTTCAAGTTTCTAAGAGTCACAGAGCTCCTCACCAGAGGCCCTTTATGAACAATCCCCTCTCCTACTGCTACCTGGGCCTCACATCTCCTTTCTACCACTCTTGGTTACACCTCCTACTTCCTCTTTGTACAATCTTCCTTGGTCTCCCCTTTTCTACTTTCTGCTGTTCTTATCCCACTCTCTCCATTCAGCTCTGACACTTCCCAACAGCCCTAAGTCAAAGCATTCCAAATAATCATGAAAAATATTTGAATTCTGAGAGTCTTTGGGCATCTATGATTTCTACTACTTAGATTATATGTTCCTGGGGACATGACAATTTGATTTAATTTTATCTAGAACCATGAGCAGCCATCCTTGTGTCAGTTTGTTGTACTGTGATGTGGCTTGTGTGTTGCTATGATGCTGGAAGCTATGCCACTGGTAGTCCAAATACCAGCAGGGGTCACCCACAGCGGACAGGTTTCAGTGAAGCCTTTCAGACTAAAACAGCCAATGAAAACCCTATGGATCATAACAGAATATTATCCAGTGTAGTGCTGCTGGAAGATGAATCCCCTAGGTTGGAAAAAACTCAAAATACACAGTGGCTGCAACAGTGCACTGAAGCATGTCAATGATCATGAAGATAGCACAGGACCTGGCAACATTTTGCTCTGTTGTACATGGGGTTGTCATGAAGCAAGTAACAAGAACAAGCACCTTGAGGCATTATGCACATGGAAAGGATTCAGTCTTTAGTACATAGATTATAAAATGGTGTGGTGCCCTAACAGATATCAACATAATGTCACAAATGCAGATGTGTATCCAGAGGAGGTATAAATTTCTGTGAACTAAACGCTATGTGCCTGCTGGATTTTTTTTGCTTACACATTTTTTTTTTTGTTGTTGTTGTTTTCTGATCAATGCCTTGGCTTGTGGGCTTTCATAAAAGACGTGTTACTTTACCCCTTCTGAATACTACATGGAAATAAAAAGCAGGATATTCTGTTTTAAAGCAAAACATTATCAATACATCCATCAGGTGAGCTAAACAAATTAGAATAGTTAAGTGAAAGGGACATCTCACAAATTCACATATTCCTGAGTTGGTACAACCAAAGACCAAGATTCTATCTTCTCTTAGCTTAGCTACCTGTCCCATGAGAAAAAAACACATCTGTTAAAAGCTAATTACTGTATCATACAATAAGCAAAAGATCATCTTTCCTTCCTCCGACTCCTTCTTCTTTCATTCCAGAGTAACTACCACTTACCTTATTGAGCATTCACTATAACAACGTTGGGCGCTAGTGCAACCACTCTACAAACATTATTTCCATTAATCCTCACAGGAACCCCTGAAGGTTTTTTATCCAATTTTAAAGATTATAAAACGTAGATTTAGAGAGATTAAGGTACCAAAGCCAACTGGGTGGAGCTAGGATGCAAACCCATCGCTGCCTACCAGTAAGGCTGTGTTAATGGATCTTCAAAGGTCCATCACCAGTACCAACATCAACTGGAGGGAGAAGGACCGCTCAGGAGCATCCTCTGAATAGACTGATGACAGCTACTAGCACTAAGATAGAAAATATAAGAAAATGCTGTGAATAGCTCTTTTTAAGAGTGCAAGGGGTTTTTTCTGGTGGGGGGGGAAGGTGGGGAGGGTAATAGAGATGCTAAAATGGGAGCAGGTGGTCCTGAGCAGTATCAACACTGGCTTCACCAAGCCACAGTCCAGGACAGGAGGCGATAGCCACCCATGTCCACAGGGTTCCAGCATTTCCGTGCATGGTACCAAACCCTAGGCCAGCCTCCCCCTCCTAACAAGAAAAAACTACCACCAACTTCGATTTACCAGTGATCCTTAACCTTTGTCAAGCACCACCTCATTTCTTCCATTATTTTACATTTAAAATTAACTTTATGTTTTACTTTTAAAGATAATTCCACTAAAAGCTCTTGAATACACTGGAAGTGCTTGGTATGAGGACATTTTAAGGATAGGTTTGGGAATCTGGTGTGAGAGGAATGGAGTAATCTATTTAAAGACTGCTGGAACCTGGTGGGATTCTGCGGTAGGGGCGTGTCTAGAAAAGAAGGCAGGATGTATTCGATTTCTTCTCCCGCTACTCTTCTTCCCAAGGGAACTGAAGCCAATTGTTTTCTTTCCTTTAACAGTAATCCACACAGTCCCAAATTAACTTCACTGGAATTCGCCCGTCAAAATATCGTTTCCCAGGTGATGTACAGGGTGCTTTACAGGACGTGAAACAGGGACACTACGATCCAACAAATCTGATACCTAAAGCACAGAGTCGGTTTCTTCACCACTATCAGGAAAAGATAAGCTGGAAGCTGCATATGTACACGTATATCGGACTCACACCTCCCACGTCCCATCGCCTCCCCGCGCCCGCCCCCCTCACCTTGTTCATGAGGTAAGAAGCCAGGTAGCAGGCACAAAAGGTGAGGCCGGCCAGGGACCTCCTCAGACACATCTGTCAACTCTCTCCCCTACCCGGGGAAAGGCAGTGCCCGCCCAAGCCAGCCCAGCGCAGCCCAAGCCCGGCGGGCGCCGCCAGCACCCCCAACAGTCACGTGGCTCCGAACTCCACCAATCCGAGCGGGGGGCCGCCACCCCCACCCTCCCCCGGCGCCTGCCTCCTTAAAGGGGCGGTACCTCCCAGAGCGGCAGTCTAGCGTTGAATGAGGCAGACGCAGACCTGGTGGCTTGGTAGAGGGGGAGAAACAGGGTGGGCGGGAGTCAGGCTTCCGATCGCCCGTATAGAAAGGTCGCGTCGTAGTCGTAGTCCTCTGAAAGTGGTAGAAGAAAAAACAGTTTACAAAATAGTTCACAATATCCCATTACTGCTTAAAGAAAAATGTTCATAGTTAGATCTAAACGGTGAGACCAAAATGATGTTTGTGCTTTTATTGAATTTTCCCAGTTTTCTACATTGAGTCTGTATTAATTTTGCAATCACACAAAAAAGCGTAACACCACCCACCCAAGTGACCGTTGCAATACCCGGTCACCTAATCTTTAATGACCACCCCACACACACAAAAAAAGAGAAAAAGCTAACTGTACCAAGTCAAAGGAGTCCTGGGTGGCATAAATGGTTAAGCACTCAAGTACTAGCCGAAAGGTTGACAGTTGGAACCCACCTAGAGGCACCCCGGAAGAGAGGCCTGGCGATCTCTCACCGCCTTGAAAACCTGTGGAGCACAGTTCTACGCTGACACACATGGGGTCGCCATGAGTCAGAATTTACTCTGCTCTGCGGCATCTGACAACAATAAGTCATATAAAACAGAGATGTATAAAAGAAAAATTAATCACCTTTCGATGTTCCTCTTAACCATCACTACTGACCAGCTAACCAATTAATAGCTCCTAATTGGAGCCCAGAAACTCTGCTGGTGTAGTGGTTAAGAGCTATGGCTGCTAACCAAAAAGATCGGCAGTTTGAATCCACCAGCCACTGCTTAGAAACTCTATAGGGCAGTTTTACTCTGTCCTATAGGGTCACTATGAGTACCGTCGATCACGATAGGCAAGAGTAAAACTGCCCAATTAGGGTTTCCAAGGCTGTAATCTTTACGGAAGCAGACTGCCACATCTTTCTCCTGCAGAGCAGCTGGTGAGTTCGAACTGTTGATCTTTCCATTAGCAACCAAGGACTTAACCATTGCGCCACCAGCCCATGGTCAATAAAATTGAGGAAATTAAGCCTCCTTGAGATCTGTTTGAGGCCCTGGTGGCGCAGTGGTTAAGAGCTCGACTGCTACCAAAAGGTTGGCAGTTCGAATCCACCAGCCATTCCTTGGAAACCCTATGGGTCAGTTCTACTCTGTCCTGTTGTTGTTTTTAGGTGCCTTGAAGTCGGTTCCGACTCATAGTGATCCTATGTACAACAGAATGAAACACTGCCGGGTCCTGTGCCATCCCCACAATCGTTGCTATGCTTAAGCCGATTGCTGCAGCCACTGTGTCAATCGATCTCGTTGAGGGTCTTCCTCTTTTTCACCGACCTTCTGCTTTACCAAGCATGATGTCCTTCTCCAGGGACTGATCCCTCCTGATAACACGTCCAAAGTGTGTGAGACATAGTCTCGCCATCCTTGCTTCTAAGGAGCATTCTGGCTGTACTTTTTCCAAGACAGATTTGTTCATTCTTTTGGCAGGCCATCGTATATTCAATATTCTTCACCAACACCACTATTCAAGGCATCCATTTGTTTTCAGTCTCCATTATTCATTGTCCAGCTTTCACATGCATATGAGGTGACTGAAAACACCATGGCTTGGATCAGGTGCACCTTAGTCTTCAAGGTAACATATTCACTTTTCAACACATTAAAGAGGTCTTTTGCAGCAGATTTTTCCAATGCAATGCATTGTTTGATTTCTTGACTGCTGCTTCCATGGGTGTTGATTGTAGATCCAAGTAAAATGAAAGCCTTGACAATTTCAATCCTTTCTCCATTTATCATGATGTTGCTTATTGGTCCAGTTGTGAGGACTTTTGTTTTCTTTATGTTGAGGTGTAATCCATACTAAGGGCTGTGGCCTTTGATCTTCATCAGTAAGTGCTTCAAGTTCTCTTCACTTTCAGCAAGCAAGGTTGTGTCATCTGCAAGTGGAGGTTGTTAATGAGTCTTCCTGCAATCCTGATGCCCCATTCTTCTTCATATAGTGCAGCTTCTGGGATTATTTGCTCAGCATACAGACTGAATAAGTATGGTGAAAGGATACAACCCCGACACACATCTTTCCTGACTTTAGACCACACAGTACCCCCTTGCTCTGTTCGAACAACTGCCTCTTGATCTATGTACAGGTTCCTCATGAGCACAATTAGGTGTTATGGAATTCCTGTTCTTCACAATGTTATCCATATGGATAACCTTGTCCTATAGGGTTGCTATGAGTCAGAATGGACTGGACGGCAACAGGTTTTGTTTTGTTTTTTTTTGGTTTTGAAGTCTATTCAGCTATAGAGTTCTGTAATCTCAATCCCAGGTCTGATCTCATTACTAGCTTTATAGTCAAAGATGTAAAAAGCTATTGTAAATAAATTGTTAATTTGGTGGTGCAGTGGTTAAGCGCTCAGCTGCTAACAGAAAGGTTGTCACTTTGAACCCACCAGTCGCTTCATGGAAGAAAGATGTGGCAGTCTGCTTCCATAAAGATTACAGCCTTGGAAGCCCTGTGGGGCAGTTCTACTCTGTCATATAGGATTGCTATGAGTCGGAATCAGGGCTTCCAACTGGTTTGAACTGGTTCTGTGATGGCAGAACTGGAACATATCGGATTTTTACAATTTGGGTGCTCTGGAATGATAACCAGAACAGGAAAAATTACAGGTTGAAGCCCTGGAATGGGAGATGCGAAAGAGGCGTAGTAAGCCCTTTCAGGAGTCTGATGCGTGAGACTGGAATATTGGCAGACTGTGAAGAGCAACATACATTCAGAGCTGTGCAATCCGCTGCCATCTTTGAGTGGGGGGCACCGGTGTTTCTGACTCTGCTCAAAATCCAACAGGCAAGATATTTGGTTGCTATGCAATGCTTACGCTGCCCTTGTTGTCTAAGAGGGAGATTAGGTTTATAGCAGGGCTTCAACTCGTAATTTTTCCCATTCTGGTTTTTGTTCCAGTTCACTCAAATTTTAAAAATTTGAATCTGTTTCAGTTAAGCTTCCTCATCCATAACTGAACTGAGAAGAACTGGTTCCAAGTCCTGGCTAGAACCGACTTGATTGCAATAGGTATGTTTCATATAAACAGAATCATACCATATGTGACCTTTTGTGCCTGGCTTCTTTAAGTTGGCATAATGTATTCAAGGTTCATCTATTTGGTGGTATCCATGTATCACTACTTTGTTTCTTTTAATGACTGAATAATATTCCATTGTACGTATATACCACATTTTGTTCATCCACTCATCTTTTGACGGTCATTTGAGTTGTTTCCACCTTCTGGCTATTGTGAACTATGCTGCTGTGAACACTGGTGTACAAATAGGCATCCTTGTTTTCAATTCTTTTCGCCATATACCTAGGAGTAGAATTGCTGGGTCATATGGTTAAGCACTGAACTACTAGCCAAAAGGCTGGCAGTTCAAACCGATACAGAAGTGCTTGGAAGACAGGCCCGATGATCTGTTTTCAAAAGGTTACAGCCTTGAAAACCCTATGGAGCAGTTCTACTCTGCACACATGGGGTTGCCATGAATTGGAATCAACTTGCCAGCAACTAACAACAACAACATGGTAATTCTATGCTTAACTTGTATTTTTTAGAGTAATATACGCACAACAAAACATACAACATTTCATCAATTTCTTCATGTACACTTCCGTGTATGATTTAACTTTTTTGAGGAACTACCAAACTGTTTTCCACAGAGGCTGCACCATTTTATATTTCCACCAGCCATGTGTGAGGGTTCCAATTCTTCCACATCTTCACCAGCGCATCACTTAGCCCACTGTCTTTCAGTTCATAAGCTCCATTATGCCCTCTCTGCCACTGAACTTCTTTACTCCAAAAAAAAAAAAAAAAACCAAACCCACTGCCATCGAGTCAATTCTGACTCATCATGACCCCATGGGGTTTCCAAGGCTGTAAATCTCTACAGAAGCAGACTGCCACATCTTTCTCCCACGGAGTGGCTGGTAGGTTCAAACCAACGACCTTCCAGTTAGCGGCCAAGCACTTAACCACTGTGCTACCAGGGCTCCTTTCTCTACTTCAACTTCATCAAAATATCCTGTTTCTTTATTCCCTACATTCTCCCTAAAAATCACCTTTTTCGTTTCCTTCAGTAGTCAGTAGAAACCATGTGCTTCATTATGTGTGACTTTGGGCTCTCTGAACCTCAGTTTCCTAATCTATAAAATGGGATAACAATACCCCTATAAATTGTTTCAAGGACCAAATGAGCCAATGTATTTGAAGTACTTAATACTTAAGCAACACTTAACACACAGTAAGCACTCAATAAATAGTAGCTATGATGATGGCTACCAAATTTCTATTTCTCGCTCATATTTTTTCTCATAAACTCCAGGTTGCCTATTGGCCATTTTCAACAGCATCCATTCAGTTTTTTCATTCACAAATATTTATTGAGTGCCTATTATATGCCAGCACCTTGCTGTAAACAAAATAAACATGGTCCCTGCTCTCATGGACAACAAAACAAAAAAGGGCAGATAAATGTGTACTTACAAATTTTGTTAAGTGCTATACTCCACAAGAAACTTAAATGTAACATGTCCAGAATTAACTTAATTCTCTTCTCTTCAGATCTTTGGGCACCACCATTTACCCAGTCAACCAAGTCGAAAAAGCAGAAGTCATCTTAGACTCGAGGACCTCCCATGCCACCCTACCCCCACCCAGCACTGTCCAACACCAGAACCAAAACACAAAAACAAAATCTTGGAAATAAGAGAAATGAAAACAAAGTTGGAATATTCAAAGTCACCTTAAAGAACTTAAAAAAATGAAAAAAGTTTCTGAGACCTGAAATCAGACTGAAGGTTATTAACACATTTAAAGATGTGCCAATGAATAACAGAAGTCCAGGTAATCCTCATCCTCAATCATCAAGCAGGTTTTCTAGTCCCCAGCCTCAACCCTCTACAATCTACCCTTTACACAGCTGTCAGAATTATCTTTCTAATAAGCAAATCTGAGGACATGATTCTCCCCATTTAAAACCTTTTAATCACTCCTTATTGTCTAAACTCTGAAGTCCTTCATCCTGGGCTTCCCTGTGTTCTCCAACCCAATCTTTTACTTTGCAGCTGTTTAACCCTGGGTCTGGCCATGCCAAACCACTTGCCCTTTTCCAGTACATGCTGTATAAGCTGCCCTTGGGAGGAAACCCCCACTTCCCTTACAGCCCATCTGACTGATTCCTGATCATTTTGCAAGACTCAGCTCAAGCATCACTTACTCTAAGGACACTTTCCTGAACATTTGGTAGAGCTGATCTCTCCCTCCCTTACATCACTCTGGGTCCTGCACATGCTTCTATGATAGCATCTTTAACACTTAATTATACTTACGTGTTTATGAGCTCAAGGTCCATGAGGGTAGGCACCTATTTTTATTCAGATTTGTCACGCCAATGTTAGTCACTTTAGAAAACACTCAATAAAAATTTGTTACATAAATGAACTAGAAAGAATATCCAGATTCTTAGTTCTACTTTCAACATCTTTGTCATAGATTGAATTATGTCCCCCCAAAAATGTGTGTATCAATTTGGTTGGGCCATGATTCCCAGTATTGTGTGGTTGTCCTCCATTTTGCGATTGTAATTTTATGTTAAAGAGGATTAGGGTGGGATTGTATAACACCCTTACTAAGGTCACATCCCTGATCCAATGTAAAGGGAGTTCCCTATGGTGTGTGGCCTGCACCACCTTATATCTTACAAGAGATAAAAGGAAAGGGAAGCAAGCAAAGAATGAGGGACCTCATACCACCAATAAAGCACTGCCAGGAGTAGAGTGTGTCCTTTGGACCCAAGGTTCCTGCGCCGAGAAGCTCCTAGTCCAGGGGAAGATGGATGATGACAAGGACCTTCCTCCAGAGCCGACAGAGAAAGCCTTCCCCTGGAGCTGATGCCCTGAATTTGGACTTGTAGCCTACTAGACTGTGAGAAAATAAATTCTCTTTGTTAAAGCCATCCACTTGTGGTATTTCTGTTAGAGCAGCACTAGATAAACTTAGTCCTGCTCTTTTCTGATGTATCTCCCAAATAATCCCTCACTGGCACATTCTTGTCATGCATTATGTAAGCCTTTCCTTCTTACCTACTCTCTTCCTTTTAATTTTTTTTTTCTTTTGAAACTCTTGGCTAATTTATTAGGAGGCTCCAATAACTTGTCTAGGTCATCCTCTGACCTTGTCTCCTTCTTACCTAAATTGTGAGGTCCATTTAATCTCTGATTCTACCCATTTTTCTTCAGCTACATATGTATCTCAATAATTAATCATTTGAATACTAAGGGGAACACAATTTCCACACATATCCACATGCATGGACATTTGTCAAGCACAGGTCTTTATCCTATTATATAGCGATAGTTTTGCCTTATTTTAGTTTGGATTATTTGGAGGATTCAGAACATGTTCTGACCTGGAATGGGAAGAAGATGAGAAATGTGTGCTAATGGAAATCAAGGTCAGTATGCCAGGAATCTCAAGTATGGACAGTTAGGGATCCTGGCTCAGGACTGCCATTTAGGGAAAACACTGTTATTCAGTATATATTTCTAGAATGTCTTGAGAAACCGTTTTAATTCTCCTAGAAATCCAGATTTCCGAGTCCATGGAGTTGGGCGGACCTACCCAGGCCATTTGCCTTTGGGTGTCCTTTTGAACCTTGAGACTTGGAGAAACTGGTTCCTGGGGCCTGCCTTTGAGTCAAACAATGGTCTAGATAAACTAATAAGACAGTTTTGCTTTAGGCATTGTACTCTTTGAAGAATTTGTCAGTTTCTGGGAACAGACTCCAAGGGTCAGACCGGGAGCTATGTTTAGGGTAAATCAGTAATTATCTAATTGTTCTTGTCCGAAAGTAATGAACACATACTCTATTAGAGTAAAAGCAAGGAGATGTACTGAAGGTTTGAAACGTCTGATCTTACAAAGTGAAACAAATACTCCCAAGAATGGGCGGGGAAAAAAGGGTACATTTATGTGGTAAAATCAGGAACTAACGGTGCAAAATCTGTGATTGGTGCTCGGTGAGGTAAGGCGGTCTGAGGTGGAATATCTAGAAGCTGGGAACCAAAAGGGATTGGTAATACAGGATAATTGCAGAAGTAGTAACTATAGGGGTGTATAGATGGCCACAAGATGATTACAGAGTATTTCTTCCCAAGGACATTTGGTTTAAAAAATAGCTAGGGGAGCAATATATTTCCTGAGTGTGGTCAGCTCTGGACATGTCTGATAAAATTAAGGGGGTCAGCACTCTTGCGGGAATATTCTTCCCTTAATCTTGGCTTAATCACAAAGAAAGAAACTTTCTTAGTTACAGGCTTTTAAGTCAGTACAAAGGTCACTGAATATAAGAAGTTAGCAAGCATTGAGATGGAGTTCAGACCCAGACCCAGACTAGCCATTTTACTAGGGTCAAGTGCCTCAGTTGAGGGTTCCTACACATTTTTCAAGACAATGCTGTATGAAAATCCTTCCTGACCAAAAAGTTGTTTATCAGTTCTGTTCTGACCTTTTTTTCCACAGCAATGCTGTTAAGATTTGGTATAAGAGTGTTTCAAGGTTCTCTCATCTTCAGAACATTTTTGACTCTCTAGTCAAAATGTTACCCTGATTTGCAAATCGTATACTAAATAAACTTCAATCAATTTCTATTATTGGCTTAATATGATTTTTTGTTTTAATTGTCTGAATAGTTTGCATATAAGCAGTATGGAGGCAGTGCTTGGAGCCAGAATGCATGGGGTCGACACTTACTAGCTTTGTCACTTATTAGCTGGATGACGTTGGACAAGTTACTTTACCTCTCTGTGCTTCAGTTTTATTATCAGTAAAATGATGATAATAATAGAACTTCCTCCTTAGTGTTATTCTCAGGATTAAACGAGTTAATAAAGTACTTTGAACAAGGCCTGGAACACAGTAAGTGAAATGTAAGGCTTTAGCTATTTTTATTCAATCACTTTTTAAGAATCTCCCTACAAAACACAGAATCAAAACTTTTATTATACAGACTGACTTTTGCTCAATGTTACATTTTACAAATTTACACACTCATCGTGCCGCCTCCAAACAACCGCAGAAACAAAAACCCGCCGTCTCCCTCAGTCTCTTTCCCTTCTCTAAACCTGCCCATTTTCTGTCTCTGTTATCTTCTCGGGTTAGATTTAATTGGGGAGAGAATGCATGAACAGAGCCTCGTTTATTTACAATCCACACAGGGTCTATTCTAGTTTGACTAGATCCAGTGCTGTCTACGGGCTGTTGGGGAGGAAGAAAGAGGAAGGCGGTGCGGGACAGCGCAGAGCCTGGGCTAAAGGACGTCACACCTGGCCCTTGCCCTGCCCCACACAGGCGACTGTGACTACAAAGCCGGCAAGCTGCACCTTGCACCCTGGACCCCAAAAGGCAGCGACCGGAAGTGCGACCCGCCCGGGAGCGGAGAAAGGTGACAGCGAGGGCCGGGCGGCCAATCGGAAGCGACTACCCTATTCTTGAGGGCGGAAGAGAAGAGGTTAGTTCCGGACGCGACCGCCGTCAGCGCCATCTGTCACCTCCGCTCCGGCACCAGCAGCCTTTCTACCCTTCTCCACTGTCTGTCTCCTCCTCGGCGGAACTCGCTTCCCGATCCTGCCCCCTCTCTACCCTGTTCTTGTCGCTGGCTTCTTCCCCCACATGGATCTAGTTGGAGTGGCATCTCCTGAACCCCGGCCAGCAGCGGTGAGTGGCGGCCGGGGCTGACGTACTTGCCCTAGTCACCCGGGCTGCCTCTTTCTGTGAAGGTCTGGAGGGGCCAGCAGGCGCGAAGAAGGCTCCTTAGGCGGCTGGGACGGTTCCAGGGTTCCTGACCATCTCAGAAAGGGGTGAACCTGCCGCAGGGCTGCCGTGTGAGGGGGTGGGTGGAAATTGCTGGGCAGGCCTCTGCAGTTCCCAAAGGCCATTCTGGATGTTTTTTTAATTTCTCTTTAGTTCTACACCTTGCTTTCTGAATCTCTGTGAAATGTATTGAGCAGGACTCGCTTACAGACGTGTACGTTTGAGAGAAAACAAGCCTGACCTTGTTTTTCACGGGCCAAGTGTGTCAAATTCGGTAATAAACAGAAAGTTGGTTTAGGAAGTTGTTGCCTTAGATTAACAAGTATGGTTATCCTAATCCGATGTTTTCTTGTTTTTGAAGTAGTAAAAGATAAAACCAGGCACACCCTCCTTCCCTCTATGCTAATACTCAAAACGGTTATGAAGCCGCATTACTTGCCTATGCTTTAGCGTTTAAGCTTTTTCCCGTAATGGCAAACTAAAAACGTTTATTTCGCATTTGATTTCAGGCTTCTATTTTTTCATGATACTTTGATTAGAAGGTTGAAAAGACTTCTCTGCCACTTTACTGAGTTCGAGAGCAAGAGCACTTAAAGTGTTACCTAAGTTTGTGAAGGAATCGTACTTTTTAAACTTCATAGTTCTTTATATGTTAACACAGAACATTTGTTCCTTTTAAAGGGTCACCTGTTAATCTTGTTGGATCTTCAGGCTAGGTCTTAACAGAAAAGAGGAAAAGGATCAATGAATAAGTAAAGGAAAATTAATTTTATAAAAGCTGTCTTACAACTGTAGGGAGAATATAAGGTATCCCACTGGCAAACTTGTTTGCATGTGATTTTGTTTATATTTTCTTCTAAGATCCTATTTAAAAGGTTAAGATCAGTAGATGTTACTGGTACTAGGAAAAACATACTCTTCACATTAAATTCCTTAAGTTAGACATCTGTAAAAGCTGGGAAAGATGCCACATGAGACCACCTCTGCTCAGAATACATTCTAACCTCAGAGCAAATTTCTCTTACAAAACTAATTTACTAATAACATATTTGATATTGGTAATATTCCAATTTAATGGATATAGCGGAGCCTTAAATTTCCATTTTCATCATTCAATCATAAATGATCCTGGGCATATTGATGCCAAAAGACATGTTGACAGGCAGAACAGCTAGGAGGCCACAAATACCACTTAATCCTTTCTTCTTTGAATTCATGGAAGACAGAAGTGATTAGAGAAGCCTTCATGGAGGAGGTGGAGATTTGAGGACCTCAAAGAACTTTTGTTTATGAAGGTTATACCTATTAATCTATTGGTATTTATCATTAATAATTAAAGCTTAGAAATTTAAAATATGTTTGCTATTTTAAAGTCATTGTATGTAAACATAAACATTTTTATAAAAAAAAAGTTACTTTCCAAAACAAAAAAAAAATCAGTGAAGAGAGTAGTATTGTTTTACATTTTTGAAAATCTCTTTAATCTTTGGGTTAATAGGAGACGGAGCCCTGGTGGCGCAGTTGTTAAGAGCTACACTGCTAACCAAAAGGTCAGCAGTAAAAATCCTCCAGCCGCTTCTTGGAAACCGTATGGGGCAGTTCTACTCTATCCTGTAGGGTCGCTGTGAGTCAGAATGACTCGACAGTGATGGGTTTAATAGGAGACACCTATTTCTCATATCTGGTTGAAGTATATGAAGAAAATCCATCTACACAGATACGTAGATTTTAACACGTGTAATTTAAGATGCATAGTAAGAGCATGGTAGAAGTACTGAGAACAAACTGAGTTAATCTCCAAAAATGCACACATTTGTATGCTAAACCTACTACCTTAGAAATTTTTAGAAGACACAAGAATGTTTATGTATAAATGTACATTCTATTCACCATCAGAGTGATGATGTCATCGAGTCTCTGGAAAACTCCATTCTATTCTCTTGAGAGAATAAGAGTGAAAAAGACAGATAATAGATAATGTCTTAGTACTATTATGAAAATAATTTTGAACTCGAAGAGCCCCTGAAAGGTTTTTGGAGACCTTCCCCCTCCAGGGTTCTGGGGTGCCAGTTACAAAATGCAGAACTGCGATGATGGGCAAAGAGTTTTAGGTGATATTTTTCATAGGAGAATACATTGGTAAACTGTAGGCAAAAGTGAGGAAGTCTGTAGTTTTCTAGGAAAGGGAGTTGTGAAAATGAATTCATGGTACTCCTCAAAACTGTTAAACTAAAAACCAAACCCATTGCAGTCGACTCAATTCCGACTCATAGCGACCCTATAGGACAGAGTAGAACTGCTCCATAGGGTTTCTAAGGCTGTAAATCTTTATGGAAGCCGACTGCCACAGCTTTCTCCTGTGGAGCGGCTGGTGGATTCGAACCACCAAACTTTTGGTTAGCAGCTGAGCACTTTAACCACTGCAATACCAGGGCTCCTCAAAACTGTCAGGTCATTAAAAGCAAGGAAAGTCTGAGAAACTCACAGCTGAGAGGAGCCTAAGGAGACATGACAACTAAATCTGATGTGGATCCTGAATAGGATCCTGGCACAAAAAGAACATTAGGTAAAAGTTTAAGGAAATCTGAATAAAGTATGGACTTGAGTTAATAACTTATCAGCATTGGTTCATTGGTGCAGTGGTTAAGAGCTCAGCTGCTAACCAAAATGTCGGCAGTTCTAATACACCAGGTGCCCCTTGGAAACCCTATGGGGCAGTTTACTGTGTCCTGTAGGGTTGCTATGAGCTCAGATCGACTCGATGGCAACGGGAATTGTGACAGATCCACCACACAAATGCAAGATGTTAATAGGGGAACTTGGTATGGGGTATATGGGAACTCTACTATCTTTGCAATTTTTTCTATAAATCTAAAACTGTTCCAAAATAAAAATTTTGTTTTTCAAAATGGATTAGTGTTGTTGTGTAGACCCAGATCACTTTTTCTAGAGGCCCTTGTCCTAAGATGTGAAATTACCCACTTAAATGTTCTGCCTAGATCAGATCTTCTGGCTGCATGATTAGAAAATGGTGATGCTATGGGAAATTTATGTTGGTGAGATGAGTAGTGGGAAATGAGAATGGATAGCTGGGATAGAGCAAGCTTATGGAGGGGTTTTGAGTGCTGGTTTGAAGAGTTCGGATTTGATTTCGAAGTGTGAGCATTGACATCCTTCCTGAAATCTCTATTTCTTTATCTCACCCTCTGAAATTGCCTCAGTGTGAGGTGGCCCAGCTAACCAGGTCAGCAGAGGTATGGGGAAGTACAGCTCTAGAGTATGAGACTCCTAGGAGCAGAAAAGATCAGTGGGAGCGGGGAATTGGGATGTCTTAGTACAATCTGTGGTCTCTACATGTTTCTTCTTCTGATTCAGTTTATCTTGGGGAGTAGGTAAATTTCTGCCTTAGAATAATAAAATTACTGCCTATCATTTTTGCCTTTTATGTGGAATTGTTAGCTAATACTTTTAACACCTCAGCAGAATTAATGGACCACTGGCAAAAGACTAGCATGCACCAGAAGTGAGTGGGCAAAGGGGCAGACTTCAAGATGGAGGTAAGCGTGTTTGGGTAGTAGGGATGTACAAGTCACCAGACCTCTACAGCCTAGGGACAAACCTGACAGTTCCATTAAATATCTCCAGTGTTTCCTTTTGGCATTCATTACTCAGCAAATACTTAAGTGCTTCTTTATGTCCCAAGCTGTATGCTGGGCTCTGGAGATGAGGCGGCCTCACTCTTTAAGGGCTCATGCTGTATTGGGGCTCATACATTAAGAACTCTAATACAGTAATGGTCCTGCATTAACAGTGATAGGGAGAGCCTTCGTAGAGGTGTTGACATTTAATTGGGGGCAGAGGACAAAGGAGAAAAACCATTGAGAGAGAAGAGCACGTGTGAAGGCATGGAGGGGTGAAAAGATGCCATATTTGGCATATAATTAGTGTTGCTGGAGCGTAGGATATATGAAGGATGAGACTGGAAAAATGAGGGCAAAAAAAAAAAAATTAGGGCAAGTTGCGAAGCGTATTCTTTGCTGAGGAGTTTGGATTTTATACTGTAGACAGTAGGACAATTTGCTTTTCCTGTTCCAGAATGAGGTGATTAGGGAAGCAGTATAGCAAAATGCTAAGAATGCAGCCTCTTGAGGCCTTGATTCAAACCTCAGCACTTCCATCTACAGTGTAATTTTGGGTTAAATAACCTCTGTGTCTCAGTTTCTAAATCTATAACATGGGGATGACATTGGAACTATTTAGTTGTTGTGAAACTTAAATAATCTTTGTAAATGATCTGTATTTAACTGAGTGATTTAAATATAATGAATAGTCAGCTGTTGTCTGTTACGTTACTATTAGTCATTACAAAATGTGATTGAGGATTCTGAGTTAGAGAATACACTTTCATATGCCTTTTGGAACTTGGACTTTGGAACAGATCACACTAAGCATTTTTAGCCTACGAGGCAGCGCGTACTGGCCCAATTTTATGTGACTAGAGAATCTGTAGGCTTCCTTAGTTTTTCCGTTTCTTAAAAGAATTTTCAGAAAGGAACTTGAAAAAGGTGCACATTGATTTATAAACTGTGGCTAGAGGTAAAGTTAGTTGATGATATACCAGTAAACCAGCTGTGGTCACGTCAATTCCAACTCATTATATTATTGGGTAGCAGATTTCACTTTGATATGTGACTCAGAGGAATGAACAGGACAGAGCAATTAGGCGTAGAAACAGGTTTCACCTGCTGGTACAAACAAATTCAAATTAGACCTGGGTCCTGGTTGGGGAATTGTGAAAAAGAATATAATCTGGTATTCTAGGAAAAGTAGTCTTTTAGCAGTATATAGAATGAATGGGGGGTTAGAAGCAAAATGGTTATCATAGGAATTTAAATGCGGGATAAAAGGGGCTTGGAATGGGATCTGGTCTGTGCTTTCAGGGTGTGACTGGAAGAAAAGGAACATTTCTCAATGAAGAACCAACGGAGCGTGTGTCTAGATGTGAGGGGATGAAGGGCAGGTGTCAGAGATGGCTCCAGGCTTCCATGGGGGCTGGAAAAGTGCCAGTGCCAGTTAGAGAATGGAGAAGATGAAAAGGAAAGTCAGTTTTCAGGGGGAAAGTGAGTTTAATCTGTGACATGCTCGGTTTAATAGTATAGGTAGAACAGTTTCTTATTCATATTTACTACTCACTCTTGGAAAGTTTTAGAAAAATATCAGAGGCTGCAAATCCTTTTTTGGAAATTGGTCCTCTATAAGACAAACTTCTAAGTTATACTCCTGATTTACATTATTTGTGTATGTTTCATCTTTATTTTTATCAGTTATATGTACACAAAAATTAAAAGTCAAGTACTACTGGAAGGCTTATATCAAAAAACAGTAGTCCCATTTGCCACCTCCTAGCCCCGAATCTGGCTGTTTCTTTTAGCTGTTTCTTTTGAAGTTTACTTCTTTACTTATAAATAACATTTATACTGCTATTTTTTCCCATTTTAGATAAATATCTATATCCTATTACAGAAAACAATCTAAATCTGAAACCCCCACCCTGACCCATGCGTGAACACAACCACCCCTCTCTACATCCTCCCAATCTGGAGACTCATGTCCTATTCTAGAAGATGTCTTTTTTATTTTTTATTTTTTTAATTGTGCTTGAAGTGAAAGTTTACAGTTCAAGTCAGTTTCTCATACAAAAATTTATACACACATTGTTATGTGACCCTGGTTGCTCTCCCTATAATGTGACAGCGCACTCCTCCCTTCCACCCCAGATTTCCCATGACCATTCAACCAACTCCTGTCCCTTTTTGCCTTCTCATCTTGCCTCTGAACAGGAGCTGCCCATTTAGTCTCATGTATCTACTTGAGCTAAGAAGCAGTCTCTTCAAGAGTATCATTTTATGTTTTATAGTCTAGTCTAATCTTTGAAGAGTTGGCTTTGGGAATGGTTTCAGTTCTGGGCTAACAGACAGTCTGGGGGCCATGTCTTCCGGGATCCCTCCAGCCTCAGTCAGACCCTTAAGTCTGGTCTTTTTACGTGAATTTGAGTTCTGCACTCCACTTTTCTCCTGCTCCATCAGGGACTCTCTGTTGTGTTCCCTGTCAGGGCCGTCATTGGTGGTAGCCGGGCACCATCTAGTTCTTCTGGTCTCAGGCTGATGGAGTCTCTGGTTTATGTAGCCCTTTCTGTCTCTTGGGCTAGTATTTTCCTTGTGTCTTTGGTGTTCTTCAGTCTACTTTGCTCCAGGTGGGTTGATTGATGCACCTTAGATGGCCGCTCGCTAGCTTTTAAGACCCTAGACGCCACTCAACAAAGTGGGATGTGGAACATAGTCCTAATAAACTTTGTTATGCCAGTTGACCTAGATGTCTCCTGAAACCATGGTCCCCAGACCTGTGTTCCTGCTACTCTGTCCCTCCAAGTGTTTGGTTGTATTCTGGAAACTTCTTAGCTTTCGGTTTAGTCCAGTTGTGCTGACTTCCCTTGTATTGTGTGTTGTCCTTCCCTTCACCTAACATAATTCTTATCTACTATCTAGTTAGCGAATACCCCTCTCCCTCCCTCCTCACCCTCGTAACCATCAAAGGATGTTTTCTTCTGTGTTTAAACCTTTTTTTGAGTTCATATAATAGTGGTCTCATATAATATTTGTCCTTTTGCGACTAATTTCACTCAGCATAATGCCTTCCAGATTCATCCATATTATGAGATGTTTTGCGGATTCATTGTTGTTCTTTATCGTTATGTAGTATTCCACTGTGTGAGTATGCCATAATTTGTTTATCCATTTGTCCCTTGATGGGCATCTAGGTTGTTTCCATCTTTTTGCTCTTGAGAACAGTGTTGCAGTGAACATGGGTGTGCATATATCTTTTCTTATGATGGCTCTTATTTCTCTAGGATATATTCCAAGGAGTAGGATTGCTGGATCGTATGGTACTTCTAGAAGATTTCTTGACTTATTTCTTCGGTAATTTTCTCTCCTCTGTTTCTATGTTTTCTTTCTTTTTGGAACTCCTATTTGGATTTTTGTCCTCCAGGATTTATCCTCTGCATTTTTGTGTGTTTTTATCTCCTCCTCCTATCTGCGTTTTTATTCTTTTTTTTGGAGGGGGGGGGGCTTGCTTAATTTTTTATTCTAACTCTGCATTGAAGTTTTTATTTCTGCTATCCTTTTTTAAAAATCAGCTTCATTAAGTTATTTCTATACAATGAAATTCACCAGTTTTAAATGTACAATTCAGTGAGTTTAGACAACTGTATAAATTATGTGATCACTACTCTATTATTTTCAGTTTCTAAGCTCTTTTTTTCCTCTGAACATTTCTGTAAAAAGAAAAAAAACCTGTTTTTATTTAATAGTCGTAACATCTTTTCCTGTCTCTTTGATATTAACGATAGGTTTTTATTGAAATTTTCTTCTCGCCATGTACTGTTTCCTTTGAGTTTATTTTCTGTTGTTGGTAGTGGTAGTGGTGGTGGTGGTGATGGTGGTGGGTATGTGTCTGTGTATATGGTGGGAGTTGTCTGTCTCAGAGGCTTTCCTCAAATATCTGGTGATTCTTGGCTATACATTTTTATGAGGCACTGAAAAGCTGATTGGAAATACTGAGGTCATGGATGAGGTTTGTCAATGACGGGCTTTCCTGTTTGGGTTGGTCCAGGTGATTTATTTCACTGTAGAACCCCTAACCATCAGTATTGGGGCTCTTCAGTTTTCTCAAAGGAAGAATCCATTTTCTTGTCTGAGAGGTGTTAGTCTGGTTGCTAGCATTTTCTTGGAAGCACGGGAATGGATCTAGGGTTGTCACTGTTGTGTGACATTTTCAGTTTCGTACTTCACCCCCATTATTAGCTGTACCTGATTGCTGTGAGTCTTGGGCCTATGTGCTGTTCAACTTCTCCAGAGCATAAACCTCAGATTTCTGCTGGCACAGAAGAAAACAGTTGCCTGGTTGAATGGAATTGGGGAGAGATTGTGGGTTTTGAATGTTTCTTACACAGTTTTTCAACTAATTTTCCTGTAGTCAGTCCTACTTACACCTTCCCTTTTTAGAGGTACTTAGTATCCCTGGCATCACAGTGATTAAGTACTCAACTACTAACCAGAAAGGTTTGGGGGTTGAACCCACCAGCCACTCCTTGGGAGAAAAGATCTGGCAATCTGCTCCTATAAAGATTACAGCTGAGGAAACCCTATGGGGGCAGTTCTACTCTGTCCTGTAGTGTAACTATGAGTCGAAATCGACTTGATGGCACACAACAGCAGTGCGTCTAGCTTGAGTCTTTCTGGCCTTCTACAGTGTGAATTATTTGCTTTCATAGCTTCCCCCATTGCCTATTAAGTTCTCCCTCTGCTTTCCAGTGTCCTAATTTTTCTACTCTTATTTCTTCTCATTCTTTTTCCTTGATGGTTTCATATCTTTTTTTCTTTTACTAATTTTAGTTGGTTTTTCAGGAGGGAGCAGAAGTAAACACTTGCGTTCAGTTGGCCTTCTATATAGTCACTTAACCTCACAACTCACTATTCTGAGGGTCAGGAATGTGGGTGTTCCCAAAATATTAAGATACAAAAAAGATGTTCCTTTTTAAAGGGCTGATATAAAATGACATCTTTTGCTAGTCAAACAACATCCTGCTCTTCTTTTCCCTAGTGTTTTTATAGTTAATATAAAACAGGTGTATACATATCAGAATTGGTTCAAATTGTTGAAAAGACCAGCCCTAGTAACTACATATGTAAATCAGATAGGGTTTAACCTACCTAGAGGATACAGAAGGAAGTCAGCAGAGTCATGTGGCCAAAAGATTAGTTGTGATCTCCAGGTTACAGAGAGGTTCTAGATTTCAGATCTCAGACTCCTCACTAGGAGCGTGCTCAATTGGTTATAAGATCTGAGTGAATGATCTTAGCAGATCTTCAGGAAGCCTCTCTGTCCTGTCCAGGTCTGGCCTGGAATAATTCTGCAGTAGGGTAGGTAAGTGCTGGGCACCCAGTGTACCTCATCAGTCTCAGGGTGAGACTAGACAAAACTTGATTCTGAGTCACTCGGGCATAAAAATAGTTGTCGTTTGTCACTCTTGAGTGCTCCACCTTAACAGCTTTAGTCACGTAAATTCCTAAACCTCAGTGCTATGGAACCTGAACAAGGGTCAGTTGACTAGTTGTCTCCGGGAGCCAACAGGCCCTTAGATTAGCTTTAGGGCCTTTACTGACTAAACCTGATTAAATAATTGTGTCACTAAAACAAATATCATATTTAGCACTCTAAATTAAAAACTCAATAGCAGAAGGGAAAACTTTAAGAGAAATAATGTGGAGGAAAAAAATTGAAAAAATTTTATCCATTGACTGATTTTTTTTTGTATAAATTAGGAAAGAACATCATTTCTATTTTTCATAATTAGATTACAGTTTGAGACCTACTGATAGAACATTTAGCTTTTGAAATTCAAGTATTTTGTTTATTAATCACATCCTTTCACTCAACAAATATCCATTTAATGCTTACTATGTGCTAGGCAAAGGGCAGTGGTGGTTCAGTGGTAGAATTCTTGCCTTCCATGCAGGATACCCAGGTTTGATTCCTGGCCAGTGCATCTCATGTACAGCTACCACCCATCTGTCAGTGGAGGCTTTCGTGTTGCTAAGATGCTGAACTGGTTGCATCGTAGCTCCCAGACTGAGATGGACTAGGAAGAAAGTCCTGGTGATCTACTTCTGAAAAGTCATCCAATGAAAACCATATGGATCACAATAGGATTCACAATCAGTCATGGGATGTCATTCATGGGGTTGCTGTGAATCAAGGGGTGACTTGATGGCCGATAACAACAATGTGCCAGGTTATATGCTAAGATTGATACTCTAATTTCTGTAGCAAACAAGATACACAGCGCTACCTTCAAAGAGGGAAGACAGAAATTACCCTAGTGACTACTATGAAGTTCAGTGATTTTTATTAAGATAGAAGAAGTGCAAGATGCTGTGGCAGCATACCACAGGTGAATATAATCTGGAGTGATCATGAAAGTCCTTGTAGAAAAAGTGATGTTTAAGCTGAGACCTAAAGGTCGATTAAAAATAATCTGGGTCAGGGAGAATGTGTGTTCTAGGTAGAAGGAACAGTAGAAGTGAAAGCCCAAAGGCTAGAGAGAGAGGATAGTAAATTTCAGGAAAAAAAAGTTGTAAAAGTATAGAGAGAACAGCAAGAAGAAAGGCCAGATCACAAAGGACCTTGTAAGCATGTTAAGGAATGAGTTTGGACTTCATCCTAAAGGCAACAGGAAACAATAAAAGAGCTTTAAGCAAGGAAACTGAACCAATCAAATCTGCATTTTAGGAAAACCACTGTTTTTAGAAAAACCACTGTTTTGTGGTGTGGGAATGGGGACATGCAAGACTAGAAGCAGAAGATTGGTTAGGGGCCTCTGCAAGGAGCCCTGTGATGGGATGATGGCACCTTGGGTTAGAATCAGAGAAGGAGGTGGAGAGAGCTGGGCAGATTTAAGAGATACTTAGACAACTGTGCAATATTGTTGTTGTTGTTAGGTGCCATACAGTCGCTTCTGACTCTTAGCAACCCTATGTACAACAGAACGAAACACTGCCCAGTCCTGTGCCATGCTCACAGTCTTTGCTATGTTTGAGCTCATTGTTGTAGCCACTGTGTCAGTCCATCTCGTTGAGGGTCTTCCTCTTTTTCACTGACCCTCTACTTTACCAAGTGTTAGGTCCTTCTCCAGGGACTGGTCCTTCCTGATAACATGTCCAAAATATGTGAGACGTAGTCTTGCCATCCTTGCTTCTAAGGAGCATTCTGGCTGTACTTTTTCCAAGACAGATTTGTTCATTCTTCTGGCAGTCCATAGTATAGTCAATATTCTTCGACAACACCATAATTCAAAGGCATTAATTCTTCTTCGGTCTTCCTTATTCGTTGTCCAGCTTTTGCATGCATATGTGGCATACCATGACTTGGGTCAGGTGCACCTTAGTCCTCAAAGTGACATCTTTGCTTTTTAACACTTTAAAGAGGTCTTTTGCAGCAGATTTGCCCAGTGCAATATGTTTGATTTCTTGACTGCTGCTTCCATGAACGGTGACTCTGGATCCAAGTAAAATGAAATCTTTGACAACTTCAGTATTTTCTCTTTATCTTGATGTTGCTTTTTGGTCTGGTTTTGAGGATTTTTGTTTTCTATATGTTGAGGTGTAATCCATACTGAAGACTATAGGCTTTGATCTTCAACAGTAAGTGGTTCAAGTAGTCTTCATTTTCAGCAAGCAAGGTTGTGTCATCTACATACCGCAGGTTGTTAATGAGTCTTTCTCCAATTCTGATGCCCCTTTCTTCTTTATATAGTCCAGCTTCTCGGATTATTTGCTCAGTATACAGATCGAATAAGTATGATAAAAGGATACAACCCTGGCATATATCGTTCCTGATTTTAAACCGCTTGGTATCCCCTTGTTCTGTTTGAACCACTGCCTCTTGGTCTATATACAGGTTCCAGATGAGCACAATTAACTGTTCTAGAATTCCTATTCTTCACAGTATTTCTGTTATTTGTTATGATCCACACAGTCGAATGCCCTTGCAAAGTCAATAAAACACAGATAAACATCTTTCTGGTATTCTCTGCTTTCAGCCAAGATCCATCTGACATCAGCAACGATGTCACTGTTAATGGTCTTAATCACTAGAATATAAAATGTAATCATTTGCTGCTGCTAAATAAAGCTTGCCCTCTCAGAAATTATGAATTGTGAAATAAACCTATAGTTGTATTTCAAGAGGGCTAAGATAGGCCCAGTAGTGCAGTGGTTAAGAGCTCAGGCTGCTAACCAAAAGGTCAGCAGTTCAAATCCACTGGCTGCTCCTTGGAAACCCTATGGGGCAGTTCTGCTCTGTGCTCTAGGGTCGCTATGAGTTGGAATGGACTTGATGGCAACAGGTACTGAAAAGACAGTGATAAGGAGCCCTGGTGGTGCAGTGGTTAAGCGCTCGGCTGCTAACTGGAAAGTCGGCAGTTCGAACCCACCAGAACCCACCAGTCACTCCATGGGAGAAAGATGTGGCAGTCTGTGTCCGTAAAGATTTATAGCCTTGGAAATCCAATGAGGCAGTTCTCCTTTGTCACTGTGGGGTTAGTAAGATAGTGATGTCACTGAGGAAGGCTGGTGACTGACTGCTCAGGAAGAGCCTCACAGGGTATTACTGTGCTGTAGTCATTGTTTGGTGAGTCTGATTCTCAGCTTCTAAAGTTCAGAAACAGTCATTTTGTTATGTTGTGTTTGTTTTAGCATATCCCAAGGTGTCTTGAGAGGGGCTGACATACACTTTTTACACTTAGAAGACTTATGTAGTCACCATAGTGCTTAAATTAGGAGATACAGCTCTCAAGTGTGTTTTGAGTTCTGCTAGCTGGTGTAGTCTATTCCTATAAGAAAATCCACCTGGGAAGCCAATTTATAAACAGTAGTGTGCTTGGTGCGCATGGAACCAGAACAAGGGGAGTTACATGAATGCGTTGGCTAATGGGTGATGCTATAATAGCCTGTTGCTGCCTGCTAAGAACAGACCTGCTAAGAAGGCTAGAGAGAGCTTTTGGCTGTTTTAGCTTTTAATTTAAGTTTATTCTTGATTCAATTTGAGTGGGAGGTATTTTTACTTTTAAGATGATTTCTGCAAATAGCTAATGATTCAAATAATAAGGTAACTTTATTTCTAAGTTTGGGAGGTACTTTATTTCATTACTATGAATTATGAATTGAGTTGCTTCCCCCCCTCCCCAAATAGTGTCCATGGGCTACCCCTCAAAATACGATATCTTGTTCCTTGGCTGATGTAATGAGTGAAGAATTGGCCAAAGAGTTACAATTAGAAGAAGAAGCTGCTGCTTTTCCTGAAGTTGGTAGGTAAGTAAAATTCATCAAGAACCTATTTTATCAGCAGCTTATTATAACAAAGTTTTAGAATTTGATTAGTGATTGTCATGACAAATGGATCAAGACATTTTAGAAAAGCAGTGCAGTAGAAAGAGCACTGTACTGTAGGTCCATTGGTATTTGAGTTTTGGTGCTGTTTCTGTGACTTGTTCTCAGTATAATCTTGGGCAGACCACTTTCTCTGGGTTTTAGTTATGTTAATGCAACAGTTGAACTAGCTAATCTCCAAATTAACAAATAGTGAGGTGGGGTACAGTTTTGAGCAATTGTCCTGTTATTAGAACACAGCACAAATGAATTGATGGTCTCGGTTTGGATTTTATTAGACACCCTTTAGGTTTCTCTCGTGGGAGCCCTGGTGGTGCAGTGGTTAAAAGCACTCGGCTGCTAACTGAAAGGTTGATTTGGTTCAAACCCACCGTCCTCTGTGGGAGAAAGATGTGGCAATATGTTTCTGTAAAGATTACAGCCTTGGAAACCCTATGGGGCAGTTCTACTCTGTCCTGTAGGGTGGCTATGAGTCGGGATCGACTAGATGGCAGTGGGTTTAGCTTTCTTTTGTAGCTTTCTTAATTCCAGTTGGTACCCTCAGAAGTGCATGTCACTGGTCATGAGGGAAGCCAGGCAGGGAAGTGTGAATGGCCTGGTGGAGCTCTTTCCCATTGCTGCTTCAGTAGAATTTTAACATTGAAAAGGCAGATCCTACTCTCATAATTACTAGCATCTGTTTAAACAAGCACATTCTATTAGTTTGTGTTGCCTTATTTTGCTAGTGCTGCTGAAGGACCATTTATTATTGGAGAAAATATTGACACTTCCAGCGACCTAATGCTGGCTCAGATGCTACAAATGGAATTTGACAGAGAATATGATGCACAGCTTAGGCGTGAAGAAAAAAAATTCAATGGAGACAGCAAAGGTACTGTGACTCTATTGTGACATATTGGGTGGTAGAAAGTGCTTATAACATGCTCCTAAATGAATCTTCAACTGTTTTTGCCTTTCAAGTTTCCATTTCCTTTGAAAATTATCGAAAAGTGCATCCTTATGAAGACAGTGATAGCTCTGAAGATGAGGTTGACTGGCAAGATACTCGTGATGATCCCTACATACCAGGTATCAGTGCTTTTAATATATTAGGGGGGTTCAGGCTGGGGCATAGGAAGACTAATTTTTCCAATGAACCCTTTTAGTATTATATTTATCTTTGAATCTGTCATTTGGTAATTTACTCCATTAGATTCAAATGTCTTTTCAGACATTGTTGAATGCAGCAATCTAGTCTTTGCTATTTTTATATACTTGGCTTGTCTTAATTGCCTCTAGCAAAACCAGTTCCTACTCCCAAAAAGGGTTTTACTGGAAAAGGAAAAGACATCACCACCAAACATGATGAAGTAGTATGTGGGAGAAAGAATACAGCAAGAATGGAAAATGTAAGTTACAGGAAGTATCTACATCTGAATTGAGAGTTTTGTTTGAATAAGTTAAAAGCGTATGACTTTAAATATGATATATTAAATTTCTAAAAATATCCTTTTTTCCTTTCTAGAGATGTTTTAGATGACATTATAGCAATACCACAAATCTCAGTTACTATTAAGAATCTAAAATACCTCAGAATAAAGTTCTACAATAATCCTTAAGAAAAATAGTTTGATTTATCTTGATTCTAAAATTAAGAAATAGTTCTTATGAAAGTAGTGTATTTAATCTTCAGCATATAGTAGTATAAACATAAAGTAGTATCACTAACCAAAAAACAGATAACAGTGGTGACTGGGGGATAGGAATGGGAAGGAGAATTACTGTTTACCACACAGGCAGTCCCCAGGTTACGAACACCCAACTTACGGACAACTCGTACTTACGAACGGACTGCCATAAAGCCTATTACAGTAAAAATTTGAGTTAAATACAATAGTTCATAGTAACAAACACATGCACTGCTTCATGATGTTCATGAAAACATTGTGTGGTTTGAAAGTGTTTCTTAAATGTTTTATATGCATAGAAGGGTAAAATATGTACTGTATACTAAGACAAACATTTGACTCACGGATGCTAAGTAAGAACCATATGTACCTGACTTACCTACAAATTCAACTTAAATTAGGAACGGATCTCGTTTGTAACTGAGGGACTGCCTGTATACTTTTTGAACCTTTTCAATTTTTCATCTTGCGCGTGAACTACCCCAACACTATCAGGAAAAAAATGTAATTGAAAAAAAAAAGGTACTCTTTCTGTTACATATTGTGATTAAAATAAAAGCATTGAGACTTTAGAACGCAAATGCTTGTTAAGGAAGCATATTATTATATCAATTCTAGAAATATTTCAGATCTGACTCTAGAATAGCACTGTCCAGTTGAACTCTTTATGATAGTGCAAATATTCTATATTGATGCTGTTCATTATGGTAGCCACTACCCACATTTGGCTACTAAGCACTTGAAATATGGCTGGTATAACTGAGGAGCTGAATTTTTAATTTAATTTTAATTAATTTAAACTTAAATATCCACATGTGGCTACCATAGTGGACAGCACAGCTGTAGAACATAATTGTCATGGAGTAGGCATAGCTTGCTATACTAACCCACTCCTCAAAAATAGTTAATTATGAAATTGTGTGTCTTTAGTAAGATTTGGTATACCCTTCAAAATATAGTATTGTGTCTTTTTGCTGTTGTAAAAGTAAGGTACAAAGCATATGCTGAAAAACCTTGCTTTTCAGATATAATTAGATTTTTTTTGCAAAGAGTAAGATCAATATGTTAAATTGTTCAATTTTATGTCCTATGGGAAAACCGTTTTTGGGTTGCTATTTTCAGATGGTATTGCTCCTTTTCTATTAGGTTTATTAGTGAGTTATTTTATTTTTCTCTGTAATAGCTCTTGGTTCTGCTTTTCTAGCATGATCATCTGTGGAATAAGAAACCTGTTCCAAGTAAAGACTGATCTTTTTTGTTTATTCTATCCTCATTTTAAAGCATTCAGATGATGATTCTTCCTTTTTCTTGGTAGTTTGCGCCTGAGTTTCAGGTAGGAGATGGAATTGGAATGGATTTAAAACTATCAAACCATGTTTTCAATGCTTTAAAACAACATGCCTACTCAGAAGAACGTCGAAGTGCCCGCCTCCATGAGAAAAAGGAACATTCTACTGCAGTAAGTGTTCTTAAGTTTTGTTTTGTTTTTTTAATGGAAAGATTTATATTAGGAAACAATGTTTTTGGGGGAGAAGCTCCATGTTTGATATCTGTTCATATGACTGGCTTTTTACATCAAAGATTAAATAAATATCCATGTGGATTTACTGTTTGATTTTTCAGTTTTAATGTAACAGTTATTAACTACTTATTCAAAGCTAACATTTTAGTAGTCTTAATTAATTTGGACTGTGTAGTTTTTATTGCAGCTGGATGTTTCAGGATTCTTAAAAAAAAATTGTTTCCTATTACATGAGTGACATGTTTCTAATAATAGTCTAATGTTCTACAATAATGAAGATAGTGTCTAGTATCTAGAGAAGAAACTAATTTATTAACCCTTTAGAAAAACTAATAATAAGTACACTGGGAGAATATTTAAACTTTGGGGAGAAAATAAGATTTTGACTAAGCTAGTTGTCTGACTTTTTATGGTTCATTTATATATTCACTTTCAAACATATTAGAGTTATAGTTTATGGAAATGAATTTATCTTGATAGCACTCTTGTAAGAGCATGTTATGTACACAGCTAGGTAAGTTAAATAATAAAGGTAAAAAGAAAATTTAAAAAATTTCTTCTAATGTAAGATACTGGAAATAGTTCACAAAATGTTTTTTGATCAACAGTCATTTTCACTTATAGTGCTTTATCTTTTACAGGAAAAAGCAGTTGATCCTAAAACACGTTTACTTATGTATAAAATGGTCAACTCTGGAATGTTGGAGACAATCACTGGCTGTATTAGCACAGGAAAGGAATCTGTTGTCTTTCATGCATATGGAGGGAGGTAAATGAGCAAAATAAAATACCATCATTTGGACAAAAGCTTAGCCCCTTTTCCCCAATATTAATGGATTTACATAAAATCTAAGTTAGATTTTAAGATGTATAAAGAAAAACACAATCATCTTAATCCTACCACCCAGAGATACCCATTAATAATTTTGTGTAGTGTCTTCCAGTCTTTTCACCATGCAGATATATTTTTTTTACATTATTAGAGTCATACTACCTAAGGTTTTGTTTCCTCTTTCAAATTTATATTGTGAGTTCAGAACCACATATTAACATTTCTTTGAAAACAATGTTTAGAGAGTAATCATATGAATGTAACTATTTAACCTTTCCCAGTTGTACATTTCTTACAAATGTAAGGAGGAAAATTTTAGGGCTGCTAAAATTTCTAGTCTCTCAGATTTCTTTGATTCCTTTGGGAATTTAGTGTCCTTACACATACATATATATATATACTTGTGTCTATATTTTGCAGTAACAGTCTTTGTTCCTCAAAGTCAACTACTGTGAGGCAAAATATATCTAAATAAGAAGGGCCTAATTGAGAGTCTGGTGGCACAGTAGTTAAAGAGCTCGGCTGCTAACGAAAAGGTTGGCAGTTCAAATCCACCAGCTACTCCTTGGAAACCCTATGGGGCAGTTTTGCTTTGTCCTATAGGGTTGCTGTGAGTCGGAATCAACTCAGCAGCAACGGGTTTGGTTTTTGGTTTAATTGAGAGCCCAGAGAGCCCTCGTGGTGCAGCGGTTAAAAATACTCAGCTGCTAAACAAAAGGTCAGTGGTTCAAACCCACCAGCCGTTCCACAGGAGATAGACGTGACAGTCGGCTTCTGTAAAGCCTTGGAGACCGAATGGGGCAGTTCTTCTCTGTCCTGTAGGGTTGCTATGAGTCGGAATTAACTCAATGGCAGTGGGTTTAATTGAGAGCCCAGTTGCAATGAAAGATTGTTGCTGCATCAGAGGCACTGCAGCCTGGTGTTTGTGTTGTATTATTGGAGAGATGGATTTAAGAGGTGGCAGGTATTAGTGATGAAAGCTACCATATTTTGGGTATTTCCTTTGTACTAGATGCTAATCCACACAACAACCCTAGGAAATATTATTGCTCCCATTTTATAGATGAGTAACCAATACCTGGAGGACCAGCCTGGAGTTAGGCAGCTAGTAAGTGGCAGAGCAGAACTGAACCTGGATTTGACCCAAAACCCATGCTGTTTCTACCATGGGGCCCTTTGATAACTGGCTGGTGGGAGGACATGCTGTGGTCAGTTACTGCCCTCCTACATAACTCTCATCCTAACTTTAAGAAGTACCACATTTAAATAATGCTTACATTATTATTTAAGGAAATGTCTTTTAAAAATCTTATCACATTCTAGATTTTACCCACTTCACTTTTGTCACAAGGGCTTAGATTATTAAAGAAAAGCATGGGGAAGAGAAGAGTTTAAAAAGTGGAATCTGTTTAGAAATGTACTTATACCAGTAAAATGAAGTCACCTGGTTACTTACCATTGACGCCAACCAACAAGGCTTACCACCTCAACTATTCCTTTACCTTAACATTGTTTAAAAGCAAAAATGTTTACAAAGAGATGACAGAAGCTGTTCCAGTTTCTTTTAGGTTTAAAGGGTTTTTGTTGTGTATTTAGAGGATTCAAATAATTATTGTCAAGTCCTTGCCTTTAGTTTTTTAACTCTTTAACTAGTCTCCTTATCTAAGTAAGACATAAACTTATATATTGAATTATAACATTAAGTTTCAAAATGAAGAGAATAAAAATTAATATTAAGATAAAGTTGCTCAACATATGCACTTAAATTTTTCAAGCTGAACCTCATCTAAAAATTAAACCTCACCTCATAGGATTATCGTGGGCGTAAATGAGATTTTATTTGATAATACCTGGTACCTATTAATCTTAATACGTATTTATTTCTTCCTTACCTTAAGCTTCGCTTACCGTTTTTCCAAGTCTCAACTCACGGTTCCCCGAAACCAGGCAAATATAACTTAATGGCACATGGTGGTAAATTAAAACTTAAAGGATTAAAATCAAAAATAATGTAAAAAAAAAAAAACAAAAAGTAACCATCATACCTACCCTCACCCCGTAGATCTTTTCTCCAAAGATAGCCACTATTAACATGTTTTAGTCTAGTCTTTCAGAAATTTTTATGTATGTCTTCCTTATTTATATAGGAAGAGATTATATTCAGGATCTTAGTTTTTTCACTTAATACATCTTAAATCTTCATGTCATATTAGCTTGTACTACTCCATCCAAGTGATGTTAAGTAGGCAGTTGGATAAATGAGTCTGAAGCTCTGGAAAAGGTCACTCTTGGCATAGAAGTGTGGGAATTGTCAGTATAGAGATGGTATTTAAAGCCATAGGGCTAAATGAACTTTCCCAGGAAGAGAAGGTAGTTAGAAAGAGAAATGGGGGCTAATGGGAGAATATGGTATACAGGAGGTAGCTTGGTAGTTTGATTCAAATTCTGCTCTCTGGAAATACAGTTCTTTTCTTTTCTAGTTTAACATCCCTTCATATATTTAAAGGTAAATGTTGCCTCTTGTTGCAAAAAGCAGCACATGCTAGAATTTTCAGGGAATGACATGTAAGACATGTTTTCTACTCTCAAAAAGCTTATGCCATAGCCAAGAGGAGAACATTACGGCAGGAACTGTTATGGTCAATAAAATAATTACGTAACAGAATGCACAGTTACAGGAGGCTGTATGCTATAGGAGTAGAAAACAGGACAAAATTATAGCCAGGCACGTTCAGGGAAGATGTCAGGATGAAGTTAGATCTCAACCTGGATTTTAAAAATAGGCCAAAAAACCCCCACAAAAAAACCAATACTGAGTGTAAAAAGCTAGTTGCACAGTATGTACGGTATACCATCTATTTAGATTTTTAAAGTGATGTAGGAAATAATATATGGATATTTATTTTATAGATGCTTATATACGTATACTTACGTATTTATCTTTTTAAATTGAAGAACTAGAAAGATACTATAGAACTCATGATAACGATTGGCTCTGGAGCGGTGGGGCTGGGGGGTAGTGGAATGAGACTCCTTGGGGTGGTATTCAAAGGGAACTTAGCTTTGTCTATAATGTTTATTTCTTTAAAAACAAGAGAGAGACTGAGAATGGGAGGATTAAAGTTTAAGCAGTACAGAGTTGTCAATGAGGAGATTAGAAAGTATGTGTTCGGAGGTAATAGGAAATAAAGCTGTGTAGGGAAACTAGAAATTGCTAAGGGGAGCCTTAAAAGCTAGGCAGAGGGATATGTGATTTGCTAAGAAACAAGGAAGTGTTTAAATAGGGGAATGGCAGGACAAATTCCTCTAGTTGGACTGCATCCTGAACCTTCCAAGTAAGGAATCTCCTTTGTGGTTTTTTTTAGAGTCTCATCTTTAAGCTTAAACTATTCCAATGACAAGGACCATATCGTATCAAAATCCAGCCTGTTCTGTCTATAATGTCTTTAAATTATTGGAAATTTCCCCCTTTTATAGCATCTGTGTTCTGTCTCCCTGAAAATTGATTCATCCATTCACCAGTTATTTGAGCAGCTACCATGTGCTGTTTCTCTTCTAGGTATTGGGGATATAGCAATGAATGTACTTTGCCTCCCATCCAAGACAGGAAAAAGTAAAGTGTATTTTGTTGTCACTGTTCCTCAAGTTTGATTCCATAGTCATTAAATGGTGAAGACCATTATATTATGGATTGTTGAAAACTGGTTGACAGTTTATTTGAAATAAAGTGTGTTTTTTAAAAACAAAACAAAAACCTAAAGTCTTACTAAGATCCAAAGGCATGCGTATATATTTTTGCATTTCAGAGAGGTAGATCTAGTATTATAGAATTTTTATTCTGAAGTTGTTTTACTTATGAGCTGGCAGCTTGTACTGACTTCATTTTTTTTTTTCCTTTCACTTAGCATGGAGGATGAAAAGGAAGATAGTAAAGTTGTACCTACAGAATGTGCCATCAAGGTATTTAAAACAACCCTTAATGAGTTTAAGAATCGTGACAAATATATTAAAGATGATTTCAGGTTTAAAGATCGCTTCAGTAAACTAAATCCACGTAAGATCATCCGCATGTGGGCAGAAAAAGAAATGCACAATCTCATAAGGTAAAGAAAATCATTGTGCTAGAAGGAATCTTGGGTAATGACCTGTTCATATTAGGACTCCTAGCCAGGCAGAAGATCATTGTTTTCTTCTAAATTCATTTAAAGAAATAACAAAGGATCTTGAAATTCTAGTGTTCAATAAGGCTTTCTGTAAGAAAATATTTCCATGTATATAACCTGAATTCATACTTTTAGGGGAAGAAAAGCCTTTTTTTCTTTCTTTGATAAATGTTGAGGAAAACTAAGGCATTTCTGCCTAAGACATTTCTTCATATATCTAAATGCTGTTTTTAAAATTATCTTCCTCGAGAAACAAAAATTCCAACTTCCAGTTAGGTTTAGTATAAATAATGATTTTCTTTTTTTAGAAAACGTTTACTACATCTAGTATTTGTTAATTTGGTGGGGATAGAATCTTATGAGTCAAATTGCATTTTGCTTTAATTTATTAGGCTTGTTTCTCAATTTTCTAAGCAGTTTATTTTTACCAAGGAATTTGTTTATTACCAAGTAATTGAGTAATAATTTTTCCCATTAATAAGTTTTCTCATTTTCTTAATCTATTGAAAGCATAATTTTAGCTTGTTCTTTTCTAAACATACTTGCTTTCGAAAATTATTATACATATTTAGTAGTTGCAAAAATCTCTACTTATGACCTTCTGAGTAGAATTTCCTAAGAGGTCTTGCTGCTCTTCAGTCTGATTTCAACAGCGTCCCATAGCCTTTATTATAAAATTCAATGTCCTTTTGTGATATGGAGCCTATCTCTCTATAGCCTCAGCCCACATTGCTCTTCTCCTACTCAAAGACCAGCTACATTGATTTATATACCTTCCCAGAATGGGCTGTGCTCTTGAACTCCTCTGTGGGTTTACACAAACTACTTCCTCTACCCAGCATTTCCTCTTATTGTCTCAATCTGGCAAATTCCTGTTCTCCTACCAGTTCTTCTATTAATCCTTCCTTGATGCTATGTGCTCCCATAGCTCCTCCCCCACCTCTGTCAGTGCATGTCTCACACTGTCCTCTAATTGTCTACTCGTCATTTCCACCAGACCATGGGTTCCTAACGGCAGAGGCTGTCTTGTTGTCTTTCTAGTCCCACATCTCCAGGGTAGAGTATAGTGTGCTAGCTTATTGCAGGCCTTGCTTAGATATATGTTGAGTAAATGAAAGATTTTCCTCATCTAATCTTTACATTCTTAATCATCTCTTTCTGTATAGAATGCAGAGAGCTGGGATTCCTTGTCCAACAGTTGTAATGCTCAAGAAACACATTTTAGTTATGTCTTTTATTGGCCATGATCAAGTTCCCGCTCCTAAATTAAAAGAAGTAAAGCTCAGTAGTGAAGAAATGAAAGAAGCCTACTATCAAACTCTTCATGTAAGTTGTGCCTTTAAAAGCATATACATACCACCTTTTCAAAATATTTCTTCTAAACTTTAAAAAAGATTTCCTAAAATAGCATCATTTCAGGGTGATATAGCAAGGACAGAGTGAAGTTTGTGAAAGGATGTTAACATTGAGGAGTTGTTTTTATATCAATTTATGGGTGTCTTGAGTCATTTTTGAAAAATTCACAGACTTAGGGAACAAATGAAAGCATTAGTTAGCATTAGTGACATAGAAGAATGAAGCTATTATTGGTAAAGAATATGTGATGTTACCACATTTGCCTTGTTGTTTTGTATGCCTTCTTGCATGCTATAGCTCTAACTGCAAAGCAAATACCTAGTATTATTGTTGGAAAAATGGATAGACCAGATTTGTTCTCACAATAAGAAAGTGATGCTTAAAACTGAAAATGGTAGAGCGTGGGTTTCTCCATTTATGCAGATGGTAGAGTTGGAAGGCACGTGTCAGAAATCTTGAGCAAGTTATTTAGATTTCAGGACAGCAATGACATTCAATCTGAGATTTTTCTAGCTTAAGAAGATGCTCCTGATACTGTCATTATTCCTCTCTGTTTAAATTGAACAGTGGAGAGACTTATGTACTTTCTACACAGTCAGTCTGGAGCTATCATGTCATGTAGCAGCTGATGTGAACGTGAAAGTGTTATCCAAATTAATCATTTAAAATATAGCTAGAGAGGTGATCCAGTAGGAAAACAGTGACAGTAAATTCCAGTTCATTTTTCTGACTTATTTGGGAGGCGAAGTGGCTGGGGAAGAGATGAAGTAGTAAAGTACCTTCCCTGTTTTGTTCTGTTAAGTCTGGGAAACAAATGTTAATGTTGATTTCTACTATATGGCTAGGGGTCACTATCATCAATAATGAATATATAATGCTATTTAATTCATAATAATATCTCTTTCCCACTATGTCTGGCAGGAGATACTTTTCCGCCTTGGAATTGTATACACCCCATAGAGGTCTCAATAGGACATTTGTCCTTTTATGAAAGGATGTAGCTTACCTAGCTCCCCTGGTTAGTGGCTTAACATTATTATAAGATCATTGACCAGAGACAGGGCTGCCATCTTACTTGCACAAGAATCCAAGTCTTCTCCTTGGCTTCCTGATCTCCTTGCTGTCATGTGGGCAAGGAAGCAGAATGTCACACACTCATCTTGCTCTTCCCCTCCATTGTCTTACTGTTCTGTACCCTACCTTAAAAAAGCCCACTCCTAAACTGTACAAAGTAAAGAGGAAATAAATTCTTAACTCATGGGTTTTGATTTTTATGGAAAATATTGATTGATATGCACATTTTAGATGTATAGGTAAATTCTAAGTGTTCCTTCATTTCTTAAATCTTTGCTGTACCTCCTTACAGATGATGCAGCAGTTATATAATGAATGCACACTTGTCCATGCTGACCTCAGTGAGTATAACATGCTGTGGCATGCTGGAAAGGTAAGAAGCATATGTTGTTAATGTTCAGATTAAATGACTTGAATGTAAATTATTGAATGTAAATAAATCATTGTGTACTCTGTACTTCAACAGGTCTGGTTGATTGATGTCAGTCAGTCTGTGGAACCAACCCATCCTCACGGCCTGGAGTTCTTGTTCCGTGACTGTAGGAATGTCTCACAGGTAGGCATGTCAACAAACGTGTCCTTTTTTATGGGACGAAACAGATCCAAATATTTTCGTACTCCTAAGATAAGTAAGATGGACTGTATTCCTCGAAACTGAAGGAACGGATACTGGTTGCTTTCCAGATAAGGTTACAATCTTAAAATTGTATCAGATTGGTCAGATTTCATTTTCAGCAAGAATTTGATCCCATGCCTCACATTTAAGCTGTTGAATTAAATTTTCAAGGGTATACATTTTCGTTTGGCTCCAAACATTTAAGCAAGTAAGTAGATAGTTAATCCAATTTAATGCAAAGTGCTTAAAGAGAAGTCGCATGTAGTAAATCTGCATAATTATTGCCATTAATATGAACATCTTAATGGGACAAGTATCTGATCACTTACTGAGGGAAGTTAAGACTCAGTAATCACAGTGTTGGGTCAAGTTTACTTGCCATTTTTAAGGGAAATGAATTGTTAGCAACTGTCATGGATTGAATTATGTCCCCCAAAAAATGTGATATCAGTTTGGCTGGGCCATGATTGCCAGTATTGTGTGGGTGTTCTCCATTTTGTGAGTGTAATTTTAAGTTAGAGAAGATTAGGGTGGGATTATAACACTCTTACTAAGGTTATATCCCTGATACAATGTAAAGGGAGTTTCCCTGGGTTGTGGCCTGTACCACCTTTTATCTTACAAGACATAAAAGAAAGTAGCAAGCAGGGAAGGGAGGAACCTCATACCACCAAGGGGGCAGTGCCAGGAGCAGAGCGTGTCCTTTAGACCTGAGTTTCCTGTGCTGAGATGCTCCCAGACCAGGGGAAGACTGATGAAAGAGACCTTCCTCCAGAGCCAATAGAGAAAACCTTCCCCTGGAGCTGGTGCCTTGAATTGGACTTCTAGCCTGTGAGAGAATAAGCTTCTCTTTGTTAGAGCCATCCGCTTGGGGTATTTCTGTTATGGCAGCACAAGATAACCAAGACAGGAACAGATTCCGATAGGTATGGTGTTTCTAAATGACTGAATAACTTTATAAGTTGAAATTTTTAACTAATGAGATTTAGTGAATGTATGTCTACATATTCAAAGCAGTATGAAGCAATTCTATATATAGCACTCATTTTTATAGCTATGGAAGGTGCAGTATGACAAACTAACTTTAGAAGACAGAACTGGTGTGTAAGAGAGGACAAAAAGCAAGTAGAATATGACCAGAGTTAAACTTGAACTGGAAAAATAAAAAAATTCTGGAAGGAATTCAGTAGTGTCTTACAAGTATTGTTCCCTATATATATATATATACACACACACACATATATACATATATATATATTTTATCGTTGTAATTAAATGAAGTTTACATATCAAGTTAGTCTCCCATACAGAAATTTTGTTTTTGTTTTTTTTACATACATTGTTATGAGACCCCAACTGCTCACCCTATTCTGTGACAGCACACTCCTCCCCTCCGCCCCTGATTCCCCATGAACGTTCAACCAGCTCCTAACTCTTTCTGCCTTCCCATCTCACTTCTGGACAGAAGCTTCCCCTTTGGTCTCTTGTATCTACTTGACTAAGAGGCACATTCTTCGCAAGTATCACTTTATGTCCCACAGTCTAGTCCAATCCCTGTCTGAAGAGTTGGCCTTGGAAATTGTTTTAGTTCTGGGGTGATAAAGAGTCCAGGGGCCATGCTTTCCGGGGTGCTTCCAGTCTCAGGCAGACCATTAAGTCTGGTCTTCTTACTAGAATTT